TACTTCTACATAAGACTAACATATATGCCAACATTATAAGGGAAGGTACATTTAAAGAAACTCTCTAAAAGCTCCCTTACAACCGAAAAAAAATAGAAATTGTTCTAAAAAAGAAAACAAAAACAAAAGAGAAAATAAAACAAATAGAAAAAAAGAAAAGGAGAACCTAAACAGATTCTAATATAAATGAAAAAAGATGAAACAAGCAGACAAAAGAAAAATTAAGCGATCTGAATACACTATTATAACCCATGCCAGGTGATTTAAAAATTATATACCAGATGCAATATCTGTATATCTCTACTGTAAGTCTAAACTTAACCTTAAAATTCTTCCTGACCCAATTCCAAATCTTTTTAATAATCTAGTCCGTATCTCAAACCAAGTGTTGCCGCTAGTACCCTAGCCATGGCGAAAAAAATTTACAGTAATCATGAGATTTTACTTGAACCACATGATGATCTGCATACTTTAGCCAATCAGCATTAACAATTGTTAACTGAATTTTTATATCGATTTATCGATTTCAACTCTGTGTATAAGTTAACTTTAGCATTAGCTCTTTCGTTATTTTGTATATTATGTATAATTAAACCTTTTTTTTTTTTTGCTCATAGCACCAAATAAAACTGTTTCTAGTTTTACTAATATCTTAAAGTTGGAATATTCATAGTTAGACTTAAGAAACACGTAACTAAAGTTGCTTATAGTTAATATAAATATAGATCAATAATATATACTAAATCTTATATTACACAACATTTCTTTTGCCCTTGCCAAATTTTACAGTTCATACTCACAAAAATTTCACTGCGTCAAAAAAATAGAAGAACAAACTACAACTGTAGAAGTAGAAATAATAATTTTTAGCCACAATATTCACAATAACTAAATTGTTGAATGCAAAAGACATTAAGCAACTATCTTAGAAAGGAAGTTTAATATAGATATATATTATATTTTTTTTATCTCTTATTTGAAATTTAGAATGTATTTAGCATAATAACGAATGCTGAACGCAGAAAGTGGATAATATTAATGAAAATTTAAAACATTTATTTAAACTCTACTAAAATTAGTTATCTCTTATTTAGAAATTTAGAATCTCTTCAAGAGATGTTATGTTAATATAATTGTATAGTGAATCTATTCAAAAGTCGTTGTATCAACATAATCATGTAGTAAATATCTGCAATAACTGAATGCTGAATGCAAAGAGTGGTTAACATCAAGTAACTATTCCCCAAAGGGAAATTTAATAGAGATATTGTATCTAAACTTTACTGAAATATGTATACTTTCTATCCTTTATTTAGAAATCTAAAATATATGTACTTAAAGGCCGTCAGGTCAGTAATTAGAGTCATGTAAATAATCACAATTGTAGTAGTTTGTAGAAAAAGAAATTATCATGACAAACATAATTAAAAAATGTATTTAAATCAGAGTTTTTAGTCTCAAATAGAGTTGCAGGTGAAACTGGTGTACCAATGTAAAACTAGAGTTATAGATGAAGCTAATTTTCAATGGTGCACCAGGTGAAACTGGCGAAACTGGTGAAATTAATTGGGTTCACCTGCAACTCTAGTCTCAAATAAAGATTAAAATTTTTAAATATTTAAATCATTTAATATTTTTTTTTGCGGTTTAAAATTATCGCATATTTATTTAAATTTTAAATCGATTTTACAAAAATATTTATTAAATCAAATACTTATTAATTATATTCATCGTGAATAACCTTGATATCTTTGATAATTATACTTACATCAATGATAATTGTACTTACATCAATTAAATTATAAACTAGAAAATTTCTTAAAACATAAAAATGAGTGAAAGTAGTTCATCTACACAAGCCTCAGAAATTAAAAAATGCAGCGATTGTTATTTAGAAAAGCAAAAAACAAACTTTTGTCAGCCTCTGTAATTCGTGCTCTATAAGACATAGTAAAAAGTATCAAGAAATAAATCAACAAAATACAACAGAAACTAACCTTAATGTAATGGTTCCAACTATTAGCACTTCTATTTCTAGAACTAATAATGTCTCAAATTTACTCCAAATTCATAATATTATTGAAAACTATGATTTTGAGTCAACAGAAAATAATTTTCTCTTTAATAAGGATTTTGCAAACATAATAGAAATAGAAAAGCAAGCTAATGATGATGCTGACATGCTCACATATTGCATAGATAAAGTAGAAAAATTTGTCTCAGAACAGTTTCGGGATACTGAGTTATTCGGTAAACCTACAAAATTTGCTTTTGAGATTGAATTAGACTCAGAGCTTTTAGATAATGTTGCACTTAGCCAATATTCCGAAAATGATTCATTAAACTTAGAAAGAATTAAAAATAGCTTTGCACAGCTCACCAAAATTCTTATCTTGCTATTAGAATCTGGATCTAAATATTATTGGGAAGTACAAAAATTATGTTTAAACTTTAAAAGAAGTGAATTTACAGAAAGTGCTACAGCATACCTCCAATGTGCATCACACAAAGATTGAGCTTGGCAAAGACCAGATAATTAGCAGATAAAAAGGTGAAGTGAAGCTTGTCCTGCAATATCACAATTTCCTTGCAGAGGCAAAATTACAATTAATATAAATATACCTGAACAATGTGCAAATATACAATGTGAACATTTATGCTTACATGAATATCCATCATATTGGCAAACAGAATTTCCAGAAGAAGCAAAAAATAGATCCAAAGACATCTCTGGTATAACTTGCGAAGCTCAGAGTTGTATAGATATTTATACAAAAATAAATTAATTAATTCAATATACACAAAAGAACAAGTATATTATTGGGTATCAGTTTATAATAAACAAACATACCTTACAAACCAAAATAATCAGCTTTTATCTTCTAAGACATATCTTGAACGACCTGAAATTGTAGCTAGAGGGTTCAAAATTCTTACTTATTTTGATAACAATTTTGTAAAAGCTTTAAGATTTGCTACTCCTTTGCTTTATTGAATTGGTGTAGAAAAAATAAATAAAGTCATAATAGATTCAACATTTAAAACAAATTAGAAACGATTTGAACTTTTTGTAGTAAATGCTAATTGTAGTGGGTATGGTATGCCACTTGCATATTTATATGTATTAGTATCAGATAATCTTGGAACAGTATATCACTATCCTGAAGATAAAGTTACCACTCATGTACAAGCTCTTCAAAGATTTTTCAGTAGTCTTCACCAAGAAGGATTATTACCTTCATTCATATTATCAGACAAAGATGCTGGTGAAATTTTAGCAGTCAGCGAAGCTTGGTGGGATTTAAATATTCTGTTATGCTATTGGCATTTGGAAAATACTATTAGCAGACATTTAAAAGATAAAAAACAATGATCAAATACTTATACTCCAGCAAAAGCATTAGAAGCTCATTGGCAATTTAGTTTTATAGATCTGTCATGAATTCCAGCTAGTAATATTAGAAGTTTATGTTCAGAAGAAATATCTAAAGAAATTATTAATATAATTGTCGCGTAGCTTTCCTTTGCTACGGCGTAATCGTCGATCTTACTATGTAACTTCACTCACTTGGCAGATATGCGAAGACTAGAGTATCGTACCAGATACTACCACCTATAAT